GAGAATCATGAGCAACTCATAGTCGCGAGGTGTAAAGCGATCACAGAAACTCTTCTTCATATTTACGTAGGATCTGAGTGAATCGGAGTAGGACATGCAAGGTTTTGTAATTAGTAATTTTGTATGAGTAGAGTGGGAGACCGCTTGAATATTTATACTTGTCTTAATCCTATTTTTTGTCAGTTTAGGAACACACTTTACTGGGATTGGGATTGAGGCTCTTTTTTTTTTTTTTTTTTTTTTTTTTTTTTTTTTTTTATTTAAATAAAATTAATGTATAAAAAATATATGTTTATGAACTTAAATTCAAAAAAATAATATTATATGATTATTTATAAAACAAACAAATTAAGGTTCAAAACTCAATGTTCATAAAAATGATGTCAATTGATCTGATAGCACTTAAATATATTATTCTCTATTTCTTTATGTATTTTTTTTTTATTTAAACAAGATTGATGTATAAAAATATATATGTTTTTTTATAACTTGTAATAAGGACCTCTCCCCATTTCATTGAAAAACTTGATTTATCGCTGAGAGCATGGACGGAGCCAAAGGGAGGGCAGGGGACCGCTGCCCCCTCCCCACCCTCACCCCATGTATAATAGTTGTATATATATATATATATATATATATATATATATATATATATATATATATATATAGGGTCGCACTCAGGTGAGGCGATCCCTTCCCGTGTGGTCGTGTGGCAATTTTCAGAATACACCAATAATTAAGTAAGATATACACCACTAATGTCGAAAAATACACCACAAATTGGATATGTATCACTAACAACATACCATTTGGTGTGAGTAAAAACACCATACAGTGTTCGAAAATACACCATTGGGGTTAGTAAGTTATATGGTGTATTTTTTGAGTCTGTTGTGTATTTTTTGATGTTTTTTTACATTTCATTGTGATGTGTTTTCCTTACACTGTTGGTGCATGTTGTTAACATTGTTGGTGTATTCTAAAATTCAGCCACACGACCACATGACCACATTTGAGTGTTATTATATATATATATATATATATATATATATATATATATATATATATATATATATATATATATATATATATATTATACAAGTTTTAGTATTAGTATAACGAAAGAGATAAATGTTAACAAGAAATGAGATAGATTAGTTGGTAGAGCATATGTTTGGTTATAGTTAAGGTCTAAAGTTGTTTGAATCCTTTGTTGGCATTAACACAATTTAATACTTTCTCTTAACTTCAATATAATCACATTATACCAAGACTATGTGGTCTAATGGTATCCGGGTTGGACTTCCATTTGGAAGGTTACTACGAGTTCGAGCCTCAGTGGAGGCGTTATTGGTTCTTTGTGTTTCAGTAACTTGAGAAAGTATATGAATAGATACTACAATGTAATACGGCCAGTAACATTCAAAAAAAAAAAAACATAATCCCATTATATATAACATTCTTTTATATTAAAAATGAGATGTGTAATTTATAATGTGTTCTCTATTCAAATTATTTTATCAAATTAATTATGTTCATATTTTGTTATGAATATTTTTAATAAAATTTCGATGTGTTTTATTTTTCGTTCATATCCAACAATATTTATACCTATATTTCTAGGGTAATTTTTTTTTTAATTACCTCTTTTGTTTTAATATTTTGACAGTGCATTACGTGCTAGTGTGTGGTACATTTTTTAGTGCTCTATGGTATATTTTTGAGTGATTAATGGTGTATTGATTTGTATTACACTACTCAACGGGGATGTCAAACCCGTTGACGGGTTCAATAGACCCGTTATCGAGTGCTAGCGTGTGGTGATATTTGAGTGCTCTGTGGTGCATTTTTAAGTGCTATATGATGCATATTTGAGTGATTAATGATACATTGATTTGTATTACACCACTTAACGAGGGTGTCAAACCCGTCGATGGGTTCAATAGACCCATCAACGAGGTGTATTACATGCTAGTGTGTGGTGCATTTTTTAGTGTTGTGTGGTGCATTTGCAAGTGATACATGGTGCATTGAGATTTTCTCGCGCCTTTGGATGCAAATGATCGTACGATGCAGATTAGGCCACACGACCGTATGGAAGATGATGACCGCATATGAACTAATTTCTATATATATATATATATATATATAAGGGTTCAGGTGCGGGGAAGGTTTCCATGCGGTTGTGCGAAGGACGCACCTTAAACATTAAAATTGTGCACCTTAAATACACAAATCACCACGCACCTTAAACACACAATTAAAGCACCCTAAGAACACAAATCACTCACTTTATTAAGTACACAAACCACGCACCTTAAGAACAATACAAAACACCTTAAAAACACAAACCACGCACCTAAGGTTTTAAAATGACTCACCTTAAGTTTCACACAACTGACGCACCTTAAGCATACAAATCATGCACCTTAAGAAGGAAAACAACGCACCTTAAGAAGGAAAACAACGCACCTTAAATTTCAACAACTACTCACATTAAGCACAGAATCCACGCACATTAAACACAAAAACCACGCACCTTAAATTTGACCTAGATACAAAAAATTACCAAATTGCCACCATTATTTTTTTTTTTTTTTAAATTTTGGTAATCCTAAACGTTGATTTAAGCAAGATCAATGACTCAGATTTAACCTCACAACTGCACCTAGGCGCACCAATCGCACCTAAACCTAATCTAATAACATAATAAGTGTGGATGAAGGTTATACCCTTCATTTATGTCCGTTTTTTTTGTTAAGTTTTATGATACATTATGCTATAAATGTTGTACTATACAATATTTTGGACAAACATACCCCTAACGTTATAACTTCCGTTATCTTTTCCATTATTGCTACCATGTACATGCATCCATAATATATTTTCTCATTTTCAATAATAATAATAATAATAATAATAATAATAATAATAATAATAATAATAATAATAATAATAATCATAATCATAATAATAATAATAATAATAATATACACATTATATATTGGGGTTATATGTTAGTTATTTCTTAAAATATAAATATTAAATTTATAGAAATGTTTTACATTATTATTATTATTATTATTATTATTATTATTATTATTATTATTATTTATAATAATTTAAATATCTAAAATCTAAATAAATTTAAAATTTTAATATAAAATATTAATATTGGGCACCTATTTTTTGCGCATCGCGCATATGAAATACTAGTATATGTATATATATATATATATATATATATATATATATATATATATATATATATAAACTTTACATTATTATTTGCATGCAATACTTAACTTACATAGATACATTTATACTATTTCCGTTGCAGACATATTATTTTATATATAGAGGAAGGTTCAAGTGCGGCGATGTCCTTAGGTGTGGCAGTGCGGTGTCACCAAAAGTTCAACAAATATACATCATCAATGTTAGGAAAATGCACCACAAAAACATACACAAATTAGGTACGCATCACCAAAAACACACCATTAGGTGTGAATAAAAACACCATACCGTGTTCGAAAATACACCATTGGGGTGTGGTGAGTTATATATGGTGTTTTTTTGGATCTGTTGTGTATTTTTTGGTATTTTTTTGCATCTCATTGTGGTGTGTTTCTCTTACACTGTTGGTGTATTATGAAATTCCGTCGCACCGCCGCACCTAAGGACATCGCCGCATTTGAACCTTTTCCATATATATATATATATTTTAAACTGCCGTAACTTCTCCTAACAGTCACATTTTACATCTATAAATATTTGGAGAAACATTTGAAAGGACACATGCATTTAACTTGTACACTACTGGAAATTATGGAATTTCCGACCACCTGAAAATGATCTTAAATCAAGTCGAAAGCCTTGTTCCGACCACTTTTGGTATCCGGAAAAACCTTTGTTGCTATTTCCGACCACTTTTTGGACTTTTTGGTATCAACTTAATTTAAGATCATTTTCAGGTGGTCGGAAATTCCATAATTTTCAGTAATGGTAGTATACTAATATATTTGACACAATCTTACAATTTTACTGAAAATTCTTAAACAAAGAACTTAAAAATTTCATTCATCTTCTTGTATCTCAAATAAGTTTAAATCTGGAACCTTGTTACTTTTTTCTGAAAGATATTTAAAACTTAGAAAGTGATTACACGCGTCAAGATCTCAATTCCTCACTTAGCTTGCATGATTATTGCAGTCACTCCAATTTTTATAACAATCACTTCAAATGCTTCTCTATCATGCATCTTTGAATTGGCCTTGATTTCTTGGTATGCCGGCTTCAATTCACAAGTTTTGGCAGAAATTCTTGGCATGGAAGGCTCCATTTTAAGTAGAGCAGAATGTTCTTTCCAATCAGCTCCGAAACAAGAACCTAAGCAGAAACAAATAAAACCGAATTAGTAACATTTCCAAGTTCATTACCAACTCACTTCAGCATTCACTACAAAAAAATGTGAAAATAACGACGGATTTAGCGACGGGCCTATTCAGTTGCTAAATTAGCGACGGAATAGCGACAACTTAGCAACGAATTTTATTTTTTTTGTTAAATAAGCATTTAGTGACGGATTAGCGACGGATTAGCGAGGAATTTTTGCGACGAAATATTTCTGTCGCTAAAAACGTAGCTAATTTTAGCGGTAAACTTTGGCGCAAAAAATAGCGACAAACTAACAACGGATTTATGATTCCGTCGCTAAATATTCAAGTATTTTTTTTTGTATTTCCAGTTAGCAACGGATTTGAGTATCCGTCGCTATGTTTAGCGACGGATACTCAAATCCGTCACTAAATTTACAAGTCGTATTGATTTTTCATTTTAGCAACGGCATTAAATACGTCGCTAATTATAAATAAAGTTTTTTTTTTCATTTTAACGACGGATTTTAAAATCCGTCACTAACTTTAAGAAATACTCCGTATTATATTATATTTGAACGTATAAAACCAATTTAGTTTCTCCCTAAGTCCCTAACCCTAATAGGTCGACCTGACCAATTCAGACGCTCCCCTAACCCTCTGCGCCGATAGCCGCCTGCCGCCTCCCCACCCGCCGTCGACCATCGCCTCCCTTACCCACCGCCTACAGTCACCTCGCCTACCCGCTGCAGACCGTGGAGTCCAGAACCAGAGAGGAGGATCGGATTGCGACGTTGTATACATCCTCGAATTGGGTTCAAACACTCGAGGTAATCTTTGTTAATCTCTATTTTTTTCCCTGATCTTGAGATAGGAGGAAAATTATTAAAGTATTTGATTGTGATGATTATGTGGCATTGGTTGGCTGGCTTTAATTCTTTTTAGCTGGACTTCTGTTTGGATTTTATTGCAAATTCTATTCTTTTCTGGAATCCATCTTAAGTACTCATCTTGGCATTGTCCAGAATTATCTAGTCATAACAGGAATTCTAGCGTTTGGAGTCATAACATCCAGTATTAATCAATTCTGTATTCCTAATTTCCTTCTTTGATTAATTCTGCTTTAATTAATTAAATTAAATCCTGCTTTTGAATTAATTCTGCTTTTGAAGTCATAACATCCAGTATTAATCAATTGATACGTTTGAAGTCATAAGATCCAGTATTATTAATCAATAAAAGCAGAATTAATCAAAAGCATGCTTAATTAAGAACCTATGAGCTCAACTTGGTTTGACTGGAATGGTTCTCTGCTTGGCTTTGCTTAGATGAATTTCTGACTGGAATGGTTAATCTTGGAACTGAGTTTGTGATGGTTATGTACACCAGACTCCTTGGCTATGGATTGGGATTTTCTTTATTTTTATTATTCTGTTTGTATATTATCCATATTGGTGGTGTGGGGTGAATACATTTTGGTTTACGTATAAAAAAGATGGTGAGTTACTTCATGGCTATTTTTTTTATGTGATCACTAATTATGTTATGTGTTTTACAACTTGAGCATAGTCAATTGTCATCATATCATATTAAGCAACATGTGTACCTAAAATCCGCATGGTGTTAGTAGGCTTAATTAAACATACTTCTCCATTAAAATTAAGTATGTCTATTTTTTGCATGGCGTTAGTATGCTTATGTCCTCTTTTCTAATTATTTGCAACTTAAAATTTATGGTGACCCTTCTGTGATGATTTTCTGGAGTTTTGCTTTGAGAGATTCAATGTGGCAATCTGGTCTCGTAGATCCAAGTACTCAACTTTACTTTTGATGTTTGCTTTGTCAATTTCTTCGTATTAGTCTTGTATGATCTTCTATCATTTCTCCCTGTCCCTTTTCATAATGCACTAAGTAGCATATATATGCATGAAAATTATTGTTCCAGTGGTGAATTATTTATTGGGAGATCTGAAGCACAAGTTGTTATTTTGCTAGGTACCTTTCGTTATTCAAATCTTCTAGAGCCGCATGGAAAATTCTGGGCTTCATTTTATTTGTGTCACCCCCACCAATATTTTTCATTGATTGATTGGCCACTCTTTTAGGATTTTTTTGGGGTAACTGAAATAAGACTTACTTGCTTTAATCACATTATTATGATCTAAAAGGTGCATGAACACTGTCTGTTCGGGTGTTTTTCTTCTAATATTAACACAGATAAAAACACCTCTAAGCTATTTTTTCCTTTGTCTTTTGCAAATCCTCTAAAATAGAAGTTTGTTATAAAACTAAGTTCATTAACTGGTTATTGATTTTCTCAGCTTTACACAACAAGTTTCTGAGTTCTATGTGCTGTGTTTTGCAGGATATGTCTCATAGTACCATGACCAGATTCAAGACTCTTCTTAATCCTGTAAGTTATTGCCTTGGGATAAAGGAGACTTTGATGAGTCAAACACATTGTTATTGGATGATTCTCCATACAAGGCCCTTCTTAATCTTGTAAGTTATCCCATATTCTGTTTTAATACAGGCCTCTAATTTTAAGCTTATTTTTACCAGCTATTTCTTTTTATAATTGTTTCTTTGGCTTATACTGTCATCATTCCCAGGTTCACACCGCAATCTTTCCTTATTCCTACAACTTCAGGCTTAAAGATGATAATTCATTAGGTAACTTTAGGCTATACAAATTGCACCATTTTAGCTCAGGTTCTGATGTTAAGAAATGAATGAATTGATGTGATTTTGAACTGTTTATTGTTATTATTGAGTGCAATAACTTCTTTGACAGTTATCTTTGATGTCTTGAACACTTGAAGTCGGAGCATCGCTTTAGCAGTCATCATTGTCATAATTGTAACATGTATAGGATTCACATGAAGCTTTATCTCTTTTCATCAGATGTCTTATTCAGTTTTTCTAGTTTCACAAATTACCAATACTATTGGAGTTGGGAGGCATTTTCAGTTATTGTTTCTTCTGTGAATACCTTGGAATCATTTGTTTGAACACATGTTGACAGTTGACACAACTTGTATGAATATTTTATTTCTCAATTGAATTTGTAGGTTGTTTCTGTTCTTGATTTTCTGCGAATACCTTATGTTCAATTTTATCAACACATATCCATGAAAGAAGGGGTGGAAGGACCATCTGATGCGAGCTGGGGACATTGATATGATGCAGGAAGGCAACAATACTTTTATTAATTATTTAATAAATATTTTAGTTACATTAGAATTGCTTAGTAGTTGCTGGTCTTAGTCTTTTAGGTGTTCTAGTTATTTGATTTAATTAGAAGTCTTGTCAATTCATTGTGTACTTTAAGGTAACAATTAGATTGTGTGTATTAATATATTTTTTAACGATGTAACATTTTACAATTCTATATTATTGTTATGTTATTGAGTTTGAATGTCTTAATATAATATATTTTGTAATTATATTATTGAAGTACTATATTATAAGATTATTGTAGGTATGGGATAATTAGTAGCATATTTTTTTTAAAAAAATTTTAAAAATTTAGCGACGGACAAAAATTGTAGCAAATCTGTAGCTAAATACTTTCTAACATCAAAGAATAATAATGAAATAGCGATGGAAAATTCCGTCTCTAAATTTAGCAACGGAATATTTCGTTGCTATTCTCTTGCAAAATTTGAAAATAATAACGAAATAGCGACGGAAAATTTCGTCTCTAAATTTAGAGACGGAATATTTCGTTGTTATTCTCTTGCAAAATTTGTCGTTCAAATCGTCGTGGCGAGGGAAATAGCGACGGATTTTTTTTAGGTTAACGACGGAAAAATCCGTCGCTAAATGTAGCGACGGAACTAGACTGCGTCGTTAGTGAATAGCGACGCCACTTTTTGCGACGGATCAAATCCGTCGCTATTCACTTTAGCGACGGATTTTTCCTATGTTAGCGACGGATTTTTCCGTCGCTATTTTCGTGCTTTTTTGTAGTGATTATCGTAGAACCATCTATCGTATCCTTTGAGATAACAAAATCTCTAGCTAGTTGCAGAAACCTAACGAACCAGGATGGATTCCAATTCAATATAATGTCTGCGCTTCAAGTTTTGCCTTCTTCATGTTAGCCGGTTGCACGAGCTTTTGTGGAGTAAAAGGAAAGGCCTCTGATCTTCAACCTCAACTACATACCCTATGGAACAGGCCAGGGTAAAGTTTTACACAAAGACAATGGAAAACTAGGACACATAATGTATATATATAATATAGGTCAACTTCATATATGTTTTTTAAGCACAATGCAGCCTGCAGCTCACAGCTACTTACTGCAATGGCCTCCCATCCGTATAGTATGCTCTTTATTTAAGAATTATATTATTGTTTGGGACAGGACGTTGATCGATATGATGTGCCTAATCATATTATATTCAACATACTCAACTACTCAAGCAGGCAGGCCATATAAATATAATAGGTAAGAGAAATTAAGTTTAATCAAGTATTTATCAAGTTTTCCAGATTTAACCACAATTAACTTTCACTGCTGAAAATCTGCATTTTTCCGACCACCAAAAAGTGGTTGGAAAAGGGAGATTTCCGGTCGGAAAGATGAGAACTGATTGTATTATATTTTCTGAACTTGATTACAATGAGATCAGATGATGTGAATATATAGAATAGAGAGTCACAGTGTGACAATGATAAGAAGTAGAGAGTCACAATGTGACAAGGATAAGAAGTTCTAAACAGACTTATATACATAGAGTCCTAATACTCCCCCTAAAGCACAGTGTATACTAGTAACCTGTAGCTTGTCCCTTAAGGAAGAAAATCTAGGTCCAGGCAGAGCTTTGGTGAAGATATCAGCAAGTTGATCCTTTGTGGAGATGAAGTTGACTTGGATATCGCCCGAAGCTACTCGATCACGAACAAAATGATAATCAATCTCCACATGCTTGGTGCGGGCATGAAAGATTGGATTGGCACTCATATATGTAGCTCATAGATTATCACACCATAATTTTGGAATGGAAATACCCGGAATCTGTATCTCACGCAATAATGACATAATCCATAGAACCTCAGCACAAACATCTGCAAGAGCTTTGTATTCAGCCTCAGTGGATGACCTGACAACAGTTCTCTGTTTCTTGCAAACCCATGATATAAGATTACTCCCCAAGAAAACAGCAAAACCACTCGTGGATTTTCGATCGTCAGGACAACCAGCCCAATCAGAATCAGAGAAAGCATGAATGTCTCTAGATGAGCACCGTCGTATGCGTAAACCATGATCAACTGTTCCCTTAACATACCTGAGTACCCGTTTGAGCTGCTCCCAGTGTGATATGGTGGGAGCATGCATATGCTGGCATAACTGATTAACTGCAAAGGATAGGTCAGGTCGTGTGACAGTGAGACATTGCAGTGCTCCAGCTAGACTCCTGTACTGTGTGGGATCATCATATAGATATGAATTGAAGGGGGCAGTTTTCGAGACAGAGATAGGTGTAGAAAGGGGTTTGCATTCAGACATTCCAGCCCGTTTTAAAATATCATTCATATATCGTTGTTGAGATAAAATAATCCCATTGTCACTCTTAACTGTTTTAATACCCAGAAAAAAAATTGGTTCACCAAGATCTCTGATTTTGAATGTAGCAGACAGTTTGGACAAGAGCTGAGACATAATACCCTGATCACTTCCCATTACAAGAATGTCATCCACGTACACCAATAGATAAACCAAAGCAGAGTCTTTAGAGTAATAGAACAGAGAGACATCTGTCTTGGATGCTTGAAAGCCAACCGATAGTAAGAACGTATGTAGTCGATTAAACCAAGCTCTGGGAGCTTGTTTTAACCCATACAGAGATCTTTTTAACAAACAAACATGATTCGGAAAGTTAGCATCAATATAACCAGGGGGTTGCTTCATATAAACTGTTTCAGCCAGATTACCATTCAGAAAAGCATTATGAACATCTAGCTGTTTGATAGACCACCCAGATGATAAAGCTAGAGATAGAAGGAGTCTTACAGTCGTAGGCTTTACCACTGGACTAAAAGTGTCGAAGAAGTCCTGACCTGGAACCTGATTAAAACCTTTCGCAACCAGCCTGACTTTATGCCTTTCAATAGCACCATCAGCCTTTCTCTTCGTACGAAACACCCATTTACAGCCAATAATATTCATACCTGCAGTGGGTGGAACTAGAGACCATGTGTGGTTATGCAGGAGAGCATTGAATTCTTGGTCCATGGCTTCACGCCACTCAGGATATTTGACAGCTTGAGAGTAACATGTGGGTTCCGTGGGATGCACTTGAGCTGCTAGAGCAAAAAGAGGAGCATCTGCGTTGCTGCGAGTGGCCATAGAGTGAGTACGAACATTGGGCCTGATGGACCGCCCACGTGGACGGCCTCGCCGGCGAGCAACAGGCTCCACAGGATCACCCGACGAGGCAGCCTGTCCGGGATCCACGGCTGGTTCGAATGAAGCAGGTAGCGGCGGTTCTGGCAGCTCATCATTGGACACGGCAGGAATAGGTGTGCTATGAATGAGAACAGATTCCGCCCAAGGTCCAGAAAACGGAGTAGATAGATCATGTAAAGAAGTTTTAGTAGCAAAGGGGAAAACTTCTTCATCAAATCTGACATGCCTGCATGTGTAAATCTTATTAGTATGTAAATCCATGCATCTGTACCCCCTAAAGGACTCAGGATAACCTAGGAAGACACACGGAGAAGACCTGTATGACATCTTATGACGATTATATGACCGAAGATGAGGGTAGCATAAACACCCAAAGACACGAAAAAAAAGATAGGAAGGAGGGGATTTATGTAACAGGAGATGAGGACTGGAGTTATTGAATACAGAAGATGGCGTTCTGTTAATTAAATAGACAGCAGTCTCAAAGGCAAAATCCCAAAATTTCAAAGGAACAGAGGCATGAGCTAGAAGAGCTAGACCAGTTTCAACAATGTGACGATGTTTTCGTTCAACACGACCATTCTGTTCATGTGTATAGGCACATGATTGTCTATGTTGAATTCCTAATTGAACAAACAAAGAATGCAACTTTTTGTACTCAGCACCTAAATCAGACTGAATGGCCTTTATTTTGCAATTAAAGGACCGTTCAACAAGAGTACGAAATTTATCAAAGATGACATAAAAATCAGACTTTAATTTCATAGGGAAGAACCATGTATAACGGGAATAGTCATCCACAAAGATCACAAAATAACGGAAGCCAGAAGTAGATAAAGTGGGCGCAGGACCCCAAATGTCTGTGTAAATAAGATCTAGGACTTGAGAACTAGAGGAAGCAACACGGGGGAGGGGAAAACGGGCAGATTTGCCTAATTGACACGCATTGCATAAAGAATTATGACAACGAATATTATCACGAGACCCACTAACCAAACAAGAACGAAGTATATGGCTAAGAACACGGTTATGAGGATGACCCAGACGATTGTGCCAAGTGGAAGCCGAGGCACGAGCGGAAATAAACGCTGACGGAGACGAACTATTGCCCCGAAGAAGTATTTCCTTGGTATTGATATCTTTCACAACAAAAAAGGAGGGGTGAAACTCAAAAAAGACTTTAAAGGAAAAGAAGATATCACCGAAGAGTCGCCTCAACTGAGGGACTCGGCGAATAAAGAAGGAATCGAGGGTCCAAACCCTTAGAAGTTTATTAGAGAAAGAAAAAGTTACAGCCAAGATTCACTTCGACGGCTAAAGAGAAAGGGGCTCAGAGCCAGAAGGTCACATCCACTGAAGCAGTCGGTCATACGGCAAACAAAGAGAAGTCATGAGGATGGAGTCGTGTAGAATGTTGAATAAAGAGTCGGCAAAAATCGAGGGGGCTAATAAAGGGAAATTTTGAGGCAAGACAATATACTTTTCCATGCCCTGCTGAGTACGAGACATAGAAAAGTGAGGGACTAGTTGATGGGGTGTGAACCCCATGGGCTCGGGGCCCAAGAAGAAAGTAGATAAAGCCCAGACGAAGAAGAAAAGCCCAAGAAGAAAATGGAGCAAACCCAAAAGAGATATGGGTCAAACCGAGGAGTCGGCTCGACCCAGGAGTCGGCTCGACCCGGAGGTCGGCACGGGTAGGGGGTCGGTCTAACTAGCCGTTATTCCTACATTATCACCCATGAAACCTATTTACTACCCTATTATTACCTAATCATTACCCTACTTACTAACTAGCCGTTAGACACTTTATCAACCAACTTAATACCCATAACCCCCTAATTATCACCCATCAATACCCTACTAATGGTCCAACGGACACTTTTGGGGATGGGCTAGCTATAAAAAGGGGAAGAAGAGCACAAGGGATCATCCACTCATTCACCTACACACATGGGAGGACTCTCCCAAATATTATCCTCCCACTCACCATCCTTTC